AGAGAGAGAGAGAGAGAGAGAGAGAGAGAGAGAGAGAGAGAGAGAAAGAGAGAGAGAGTGAGAGAGAGTAAGTAGCAAGCTTCTGTTGAAGAGCCTACAGCTTGCAGCACACAAGCAAGGCGCTCCGTGTGGCTGAACTTTCCTCATAAGTACGAATATCTTATAACTAGCCGGGCACTGTGTGGAGGGAAAGAGACCTCTCCGAGCGGCTCGGCCAACTGGTGTGAAATCTCCAGATTAATTTCCTATGACAAGAGTATTCGTGGATCAAAGTGAGCCCTGAACGCTCATAAAGCTAGCCACGTTTGTGCGGCTCCTGGTCGCTCGTGTTTGCTCTCCGTCTGTAGTCGAGCGTAGCCCCAACAGACGCCACTACGACCAGAAACCGTCAAAGATGAACACTTTTTTAGCTTCAGCCGTATGAAAGAAAAAGACACTTGGGGTATCCCATCACCGAAGAATCAACGAAGGGACGTTTCTTCTGTTTATACTTCATTAGAGAGGTCGTTGATCAGGCTCAAGACGTATTTGTTTCAATACTATAATTCTTTCTCAGACTCACCCTAGTTCTGGCCTCCTTCAGCCCTCTATATTATGTTTGTTAGTATTTGAACGCTTGTACTGCGCGCTTCCCGGGAAGCTGAGAATGTTTCTAATGTTCTATGGTCTGCCAGGGTAATAATATTGGATTGTAAATAGCAAAGTGTTCGCTGTTGAGCGGGAATACGCGCGATACAAAAGCTATTTATAATTGTAATGACTATTATCATTATTATTATTACTTTTATCATCATTATTGTTGTCGTCATCAGCATTATCATCATCATTGTACACAGAGAATAAAGAAGGTTGAGACTATGTAGGATTTCCAAAATAAGTTATAATACGTTCATCAACGTTTTGCCCACTACTTCGTCAGAATCATCATCATCACCACCATCATCATCACTACTATGATTTTAATAAGCCGAGGTGGCTGGAACTCACCCGCTCGTCGTCCATCTCCTCCACAGGGATGCCGTTCTTGAGCCAGCGCGTGTTGGGCCGCGGCGTGCCCTTGGCCGGACACTCCAGGCGCACGTACGAGGTGGCCTGGCCCAGCTTCAGACGCACGAAGTTCATCCGGTCACTCCACTGGAGCTTCTGCTTCTCCTCTGAACACGGGTTGAGGGGGGGGGGGAGAAATAAGTAGAATAATATTATATTATCATTTTTAAGTAATCATTTAGGCATTTGGGTAAAAAGAAATCCAGTCAAAACTGTCTCATACGGCCATCTATTGTCGAGGAGAAAAGTGTCCGTACCATACAGGTGATAAGTGGGAAAACAATGAATATCACCAAGAGGCTAGCTCAGGATAGAGAGAGGTGGAAAGTGTTCGCGGCCTGTACCCTGGTGCAGGGTGAGAAAGGCAATGATGATGATGATAATGATTATACAGATGGCTGTTTCATATTGTATCAGTATAATGTAAAAACGACGAAAGGGGAGAAAAGGAAAGAGGCCACGTGTACAAGTGATTGTCTTATACAGGTAGCGGTTGGAGCAGGTTCGATTGTACATCGACACAACAGTAAGTTATGACATTCTGCAATCGGAGGAAGGACTTTCGAAACGAGCGACCACACCAACAAGAATGAGATAGCATGATAGTTTCTACATTTTGCTTGCTTGAGTTGAAGAGAAGCACCTTGATACAATGATGGTCATTTTAGGGGGGGGGGAGAGAA